AACTGCGTAAGGTCATACGAGCGCCAGAAGATTAGAGGTGTTACAAGAGAGAAAAAAACATAAAAAAGAAAAAGGGGAGATAAGGAGACAGAAGTTTCACGGGAAATTTGAAGTTTAAAAAAATAGACGTTTGACAGGAATGAAGAAACAAACCACACCAGAGCACCAGTCAACCACCCACACACACAAATAACAACAAACATATAAAAGAAAAAAAAACCCACCAGACACCAGGAGCTACTTTTAAATAACATAAGTTTTATTTGTTGATAACGGCATCATTTGTTACTCAAGATGAAATATTGACGGCCGCCGTGAGGCAGGAGAAAGTCTCTCGCACACAACGGGCCGCGTGATCGCAGCCAAACACAACATCGACGACACGGAGGCCAGAGACTCCCCCCACAAGAAAAGGGCCCTTACTGCTACAATGTCTATATAAAAAAAGAGGCCCATTTCTTGTGGGGAATCTCAACATGCAAACAAACAAAAAAGTAACAATGGAGGAAACACAAGGAACAAACAAACAAACAAACAAACAAATTGACTCAGTCCAGACGACATATGGACAGACAACTCCCTCAGCCCCCCCCCACAAACACACAGGTGAAAAGACGCCTCAGGTACCCCAATGTATAGATCATCATCGTCATCATAGGAAGAAAACACAGGTGAGAACTGTCCAGTCTACGAAACACGAACAAACCTATTGAAGAACAGACACTTCACATCAATCAGAAAAACATATCATCATCATTATTATCATCATCATCGTCGTCATCATATACACAAAGTGGCCAACACACTACACTAGAGAAATCAAGATCGTTAAAAATCACACACAGAAAAAGCTCGCATGCATGGGGGAAACACGTTCTTGGATTATGATCAAAAGTTTGCGTGACATTTCATCCAGGAGCTGTCTCCGTGATCCACACACATCCATATATATCTCTCCACTCAGATCTGGACACATCTCTCTCTCTCTCTTTGTTTCAACCTCTCCTCCTCTCTCTCTCTCTTTGTTTCAACCTCTCCTCCGCTCTCTCTCTCTCTCTCTCTCTGCCCAGGGCTGTACAATGACTCAGATAGGCCTACATCACCCTTCACTGACAAATTGCCACTTCTCTCTCTCAATCTCCCACTGTCTCTCTCAATCTCTCACTGTCTCTCTCTCTCTCACTCTCTCTCACTGTCTCTCTCCTTCTGTACAGAAGAAAGTCATTCTATAATATATATATATATATATATATATATATAGCTAGCAGGGCTGTACATAGAATTAGACACCTTACCCTTCACTTACAAATTGCCACTTTTCTTTCTCTCCTTTACTTTTCTCTCATTCTCTCTCTCTCTCTCCACGTAAAAGTCACATATTATGTAGCTTGCAGGGATGTACATTGAATAAAATTCATTTACAAATTGCCAAATCTCGCTTTCTTTTTCTTCTCAACCCCCCCCCCCTCTCTCTCTCCCCGTGTGAGGGTCACATATACAGCTGGCAGGGCAGTACTCAGAATAAATGACAAACCATATAACATAGATATCATATAAATAATATACATTCAAAAACAGCTACACATGTTGAACTACCACCCCCCTCGCCCTTACCCTGTCCGCGCTAGTTCCTAACATGGCATGGAAGGGCTACACACTCACACACACTCACAGACACACACACAAAACAACAACAAACAACACAAAATCCCCACAGTTTTGAAAAAGCCAACTCAAGATGTCCATTTGTACAAGGAGTGCTGGCATGGCATACAGCAAAGACAAGCACACACGTGCATATATGCCCCAGCAAAGACAAGCACACACGTGCATGTATGCCCCAGCAAAGACAAGCCCACACGTGCATGTATGCCCCAGCAAAGACAAGCACACACGTGCATGTATGCCCCAGCAAAGACAAGCACAGCCAGACAGCCCCTCCCACAAGCACAGACGTGAAAAGATAACAAGGCAAGGCACTCTAGGAAGTAGAAAAACGTGAAATGGCCACCAGAAACACACAAGTGTTGAAGGGACAGAAGAACCGAACAGACAAACGAACAAACGCCTACCACAGACCGAACAAACGCCTACCACAGACCGAACAAACGCCTACCACAGAGTGCAAAAACCAGCCGCAGCGAGTGCACAGAGTCAAGCGACAATGCGGACTACTCATAACAAAATCTACAGAAAAAAATGTACAGCAGAGTTCGCTTAATTAAGACGAATTTTGACAGACCTCTTGATTTTCTTGGGTTTCACCAGGTTTTTGGTTCAGAAAGGTTGCTCAAATAGAAAGAAAAAAAAAATTAAAAATGGGGGATTTCATTTTCTATAGGTTTACCGCTGTTTTGCTGTTTTGTTATTAAAACTGTGTTCGGTTTAGTGGACATCAGTGTACTGGTTATGGTGGTGTGTGTGTGTGTGCGTGCGAGGATCAATATTTCTGAAATGGCTCAGTCTATACAAGTTTGCCCCAACAAGAAGCATTATAATGATATATTATAGAGGAACGTATTGGCCCAACTCTCAGCAAGGAGACCCAGAACTCTCTGGGAGCCTGGAGGACCAGTGGCCAACTGCAGCCTCTCTGTACTAGAGGCGTACGTGGATGTCAACTTCAAGACAGGGGAGGAAGAAGAAGGAAAAGAGGTTCACAAACTTTGTACAAAATGTCCACGCGGGATGCCAGTAGCACCAAACTCCCCGGTCCTTCGACTAGTCACAGCGTGTGCCCACACGCACAGACACACACACACAGCCTTACTGGAGAAAGTGACGGGGAAAACTGTGGACACCCAACGAGGAAACAAAACATTACCGGGAGGAGGGGGGGGGGGGGCTCACACTACACGACAATGTGACAATGATGCAGCACAGAGGAACAGGAACAACTCTACTGCGCTATGCTCCAACTGAGGTAGGGCCTACTGCCTTCTTCAAATTCATTTAACTGGCATAATAGCAAAAATCAAACCCCCCCCCCCCCAAGAAAAACGACCTTCTAATTTGAGTAACGAGAAAAGACAGACAACGTTAGCCGACAGTAATTTCTTACTTCTTCTAATGCACGCAAATTTCAGTCAATTTTTTATGGAGTGACCTGCAGATCGACGAGATCTACGGCAATGGCTACTTAGGGAGAAAAAACAACCAAAAAAGAGTGGAGCTATTTCTGAGAGTTCTAGGATAGCACGAGACTGAGTCACAACGGACTTTGTTACATGTATAAAGATCTAGGGTGTGTGTGTGTGTGCGAGTGTGTGTGTGTGCGAGTGTGTGTTGGGGGATAAGGGGTGGGGTTACACAAGTTAAGTAGGCTACAATCCAATGCTTGATCGGTTGATTATCTGTAACTGCACTATCCACACAGTCTGGTCAGTACATTCCAAGGGCATGAAGAAATGCTTCCAGGTGCATTAGACACACACACAAACATACACATACACACACAACAACATACTCGTGTCACATGACACGCGCAGCCTGCCTTCACAACTGGGGGACTAAGGGGGTAATCAATACAAGGCAATCAATCATCATCACCATCACCATCATCATCATCACGACCCTGACAATGGGAACAACAACAACAAATGTCACCCACACAAAAATATACCAAAAATGAGACATAACAAAACTAAAACAACAGATGTAGTGGTGGTTGCGGTGGTGGCAGTAGTGGTGATAATGATGGTGATGGTGGTGTCCTAGCAGTGAGTGTGGCTACAAGCTTCACACCAGACAACACCCACACCTCACCACAAGGTAGCTTGTAACTCTCAAACCTCACGACAAATCAAAACTTTCCAATCATCCTGACCAAAACCCAACCAAAGGCATGCGATCAAAACCCCAGGCAAAGGCACACACACACACACACACACACACACATACACACAACAGAGTACGTGAGCACGCGGACCACACATCAACACAGAAATCTACACACTCGCCCCACGGCACATGTCGTAAATCTCTATTTTCATGCAATGGGAGGGAAAAAAACCCAAACCAAACGACTCCCACGACAAAACCCACATTTTCCCAACTCCCACATCATACAGCTTCACTCCACTGCGTGTAAAATCCAGATAAATTCATCAGAGACATTTAGGCTTAAATAAAATAAAAGTCCTTCAGATTAAAAATATCGGACTGGCCAAAATGAGATGCCATATAGCCCTTGCAAAAGTATGGCGTGCCACAATAAGAATATCTCATAAATAAAGGGTGACTGTTCTCCCATACAATTGTACAGCTACAGTTGTGTATATTTATAGAAGATGTATACGGAGGTGACCCCCTGGTTAAAAATGTTTCTGTCTCTGTGTAGTCACCAATGGAAGCGATATCTCTCTCTGTATTGATGCGATATATCTCTCTGTGTAGTCATCACTGGAAGCGACATCTAAAACCAGCCATTCTCCACAATCCATGGTTTCAACATACCAGCTCCGAGTGTCTGGGTTTAACGTCCGTAGACGTCATCACATCTTACACATTTCCACACACTTCTAAATACCATGCCAAGCGGGTTAAAAATAAAAGTCCAATCAAAATATACGTAAAATAACAGAGTGTCACCCCTTCTCCCCTGGACAAAACTGACCCGAACAGTGAACATCTGTGGAATCTCCTCTGAACATTTACATTAAAAGACCCCCCCCCCCCCCCCCCAGAAGACCCCCCCCCATTTGCAAGATAAAAAGTCGTAAACCTAGGAAAAACAATATCCACACCACTAAAACATCGCTCTGAATAAACTGTTTCTCCGCGTAGACTTTTTCCCTCTCTTTGACCTTTGATGAGGACACAAACTTTGACCTTTGATGAGGACAAAAAACATGCACAATGAACCGACCAGACGACAGTCACACGTCACAAGTCACAACAGATACCGCCCAGGGCCCGACTACAACTTTGTGTCCATCGAATTTGGTCAAACACTTTCGGTAGACAAAAATAGGAGGTTATTTCTTTCTCCTTATTTTTTCAGCACTGCTCAAAATTTCTACTACAGGATTCTTTACACTGATCCAGCTCTACTTGACTTTTCCGTTCCAGCAGCCATCTGGGTTGTAGCCCTCCGGCCTGACTGTACTGACCATAGCAGGCCTACTGGTGTCACCAATTCTACCAGTGGTTGAGAACAGGACTTTTAGGTACACAAAGTGCTTGACCTCATTTGGTAGATTCACAGTTCCAGTCCGACACCGGCGATATACATCTCGTAATCTTTCATGAGATATCTTAAGAGTAAGAGGCTTCGGCATGCACTCCAAGGCAGCCAGACAAGACCCCGTACGAGATCAACAGGGGGAGACAACTGGAACAACGCACGCGACAACTATCGCGGCACGGGCAGGCAGTGGGGCTCGGCAACAAACAGGATGTGCTGTACTGAACAACTATCGCGGCACGGGCAGGCAGTGGGGCTCGGCAGCCAACAGGACGTGCTGTACTGAACAAAAACAGCGTGTGGGGAAGGAAAAGAAAAAACTGAACTGAACCGACTTCCCAGCAGACTCTGGGGGAAGCTACGTCTCACAGCGCAACAGGAAGTAGATTATTCTATCCTTGCTGCGACTCTTTTGTGACCCCAACACATTTCTCCGCCATTTCTCATTTTGGCCAGTAGTTATCACACAGCACTTTACACAGACCCTGGTGGCCATTTTCTCGCTGTAACGGCCTACGTACGCCGGGGTCAGTCGGTGAGAGAACACGTGGGTCGCCAGGACAGGGAAACAAAAAGGGACACGCCAGTGTGGGTGTGTACTACGAACAACAGTACGTCCAGGACAAAACCAGGGATCACCACCACCACCCTCCCCACACACAGGGAGACAAGTCTTTGTCCTGTCAAGGAACAAAGTCAGTCCCAAAAAAGCAGTTTTTCCGCGGGATGATTTCATCGACAAGAGTCCAATCCCACCAGGCGACATAGGAAAATTCTTCATCTCTGTATGTATGTATGTAGTAAAGGGTTTTACGGCGCTCGCAACTGCTAAGGTCATATCTAGATGCGTCAGATGCTGTGAGTGGCCGTTTTACACGTGCTTTACGTCTCTGTAGTTCTAAGAGCCCTCTCAGTATGTGCAGGTAATAATAATAATGATTATAATAATAATATTAATAATAATAATAATTTTAATAATAATAATAACAGGTTGTATTTCTATAGGGCTGTATCCTACACAAACATACGCTCTGAGCCCTATATACTGAGCCCCCCTCCTCCCATGAGTAGCCTACAAAACAAAGCAAAAACAATGGCAGAATTAAAAGAAAGACAAACAATCCCAGAGTGACCAGGTTTTATCCAGCATCGTCAGACGAGCACGACACACTGCTGCACCAACATCTGTCTGTCCGTCTCATCACACGGGACAGCACAGGAAGAATCACCGACCCTACAGCAACGGACGAGGCGCGAGCACAAACTCATCCACACTCCCCACACACACACACGATCGAAGCAGCTCCTTCCTTCCTTCCTTCCACCTCACTCAGTAGTCACATAACTTGACCTTGAGGTGGGCCTGTCTCCATAAAGGTCATAGGTCACACACATATAGGCCTACACGTTACGCTGAGATCCTTCCGGGGGAGGGGGGAGGGGGGAGGGGGAAGAGTGGTAGCAGCCACAAACATCTCACCCACCAAGCAGACACATCTCTCACAGATTTCACAAACAGCAAGCAGGACCTTCAGCCTTCAGACGTCCGGAAGTAGTTGTAGGCCTACTTTTCTCTCTCTCGTCGAGGTCACGATGTAGCCAGACATCTATACGTACAACGACAACACAGCTGACCACACAAACGTACCGCCGGCCTGGCAGCCCCGTGTAGCCCGTCAAAAGCACAAAACAGCTGGTTATACGCGTATAAAGCAGTCCGTCCTAGGCACAAAACGTAGGCGAATCAGATGCGGGAACATAGCCATATAGAGAATTGCTGGAATACAGCCATAGCAAATCCACATAAAAGTAGCCAATCGTACGAATCAGTCGGAGAAATGAAGTGGTCATCTTGGGAAAGCGTGCTGGCCGTAGTCTCCGCGGTCTGTCAGCTGCACTCGACGACAGGACAGAGAGACAAAACACACACACCCACGCACGCAAACACACACACACACCGTTGTCTGCTGCCCGGCGCTGGCAGACTTGTGAGGGTATGTGTGGGTGGGTATATGTGTGTGTGTGTGTAAGTGTGTAGGGGTGATAATGTTGGTGAGGTGACGGTGGTGATTATGAGATGCGAGGAGGGGGGGCTGCGTGAGACGTGGAGAACGTTGACCCTATCGTCCCACCGCGTCGACTCTCGGGTTCCCCGGCTCACTGAGCTTGTTTGGCGTCCTCCAGTTTCCGTTTCTTGATGTACAGATTTAGCAGTTTCATCTGGAGAGAACAAACGAGGAGAGGACGGCATGAGACATGTCCACAAAACACAACAAGTTCACATAAGACAATTTCTTTCTGTACAGGTTTTTCCATATTCGTAAGAGTTTTACGGCACTTGCAACACCATAAAGTCATAAAAGTGCCGGAGATTAGAGGTGTTACAAGAGAGTAACAAACACAAAAAAGAAGGAGAGATAAGGACGATAGATGTTTGATAGGAAAGAAGAAGCAAACCACACACGAGCACCCGCCAACCACCCACACAGAAGACAAAAAGATGAATTCTTTCTGTACAGGTTCAAAACTTTTCTTCTGGGAAAACTCAAACAAGAAAAAGACCCCACAGGATCATCAAGGCTCACTCACTCTCCACTCGGTGACAAACTATACACACAAACTATACACACAAACTATACACACAAACTATACACACAAACTATACACACAAACTATACACAGTCGGACAAACACTATTTCATAATTTGTAAAAATGAAGTCATTACACATTACAGGAAATGCCATGACAAAGCAAATTCAAAGTGTAATCTATGAACCCAAAAAGCTGAAGCTCAAATCAGAACCAGATTGCTTGAAAGTAAGAAATGAGAACATTTTCCAATGGAAAGTTAGAGGAGAAAAAGCCCTAGGATTGACACACAGGCCAGGGTAGGGAAGACAGAGACAGACATCACAGAAACACAAACCCATGGTAGGAATGGAGACTTCGTCCTTACCATTTCTTGGGGGGTGGTTAGTTTTGGTAAAAGTTTTACAGTATTTTTTTTTACGGCGCTCGCAACTGCATAAGGTCATATGAGCGCGCGGGACACACCTAATATTTTCAGTTGGTCGGAAATTTTGAATTTTTGCCCAGGTGGCGGCCGAAGCCTACTCTTATCGATTTTAGACCACCAAGGGATCTTTAACGTGCGCAACTTGCACACGGGCCCTCCGAGATTTTTCCCCCTGAGAAGGCAAGGTGTAGATCTTTCCTACCAGAAGATCAGGGGTGTGGCAGACAGACAGCAGTAAGAAAAAGCGAAGGAGTAGCAGTAGAAAGGCTG